CTTGAAATCTAGTCCAGTCCGAATTGGAGGATTTGAAATGACATCCATACGAATAAATCACTACTTAGTTGATTTTGATCCAGTTCAAGGACTGAATTAATTTTAATCCAGTCCTACAGTAGAGCACTACAGGATCAATATACTTCATAAGGGATCTAGTATTATCATGTGAGCAAAATAAAGCAATATGGTTGGCTAATTTGCTCATGAATTATTAATGATTTGAGGCGAACAATGGTGGTAAGTCACATATAATAGGTATTATCAGTGGAGTAGATCAGTATTTATTTACTTATTCGATATTCTCAATCGGATCCACAGTATTTATAGTATCAACACATATATCCCTCTCATGGACAGGGTAACAGTATGGTCATGTCTGGAAAGCTAAAATGCACCCTGGTGGAGGAGCTGAAACGCACAGCAGCAAATGTATAAGAAAAAGTCAACTAGTGAGTAGTGTGGTTACGAAAAACCAGGCTGAATCGTTCCTTGTTATTCTAGATAGTGGCTAAATACCAACTTATGTCACAATATAAAAATAATACATGTAATAGTTCAAATACAAGAAGTAGAACTTTACCAGACAAAAGCCAGGACAGCTTATTGCAGAATACATGCAATCTCGTTTTGAGCGTACAAGCCCTTGGCCAGGATCCCGAATAAGTGGGATTTTATTGCTCTGATGAAAAAATTTCTTTCAATTATAGATAGCTATAATGAAATTATGGATTTTATATTTCCTCCCACAATTTATCTTTTTTATGATGAATTTCAAGTTTATATAAATATCCCTTAAAGCCCAGGATGAACTGGGAAACACTGTTTGTCATATTATTTGTCTTTCCAATCTCTCGGTATGTCATATTGTCTTATTAGCGTCGGCAAACGGATAAAGAGTGTTTCATAAAATGCTTCTGAATTTGGTAGGAAATAATTTGCTTTCTGGGAAGCAAATTTTGCGTCTGCAATAAAAGCCAATTAAAAATCACGAATATTTCCGCGACATTATTTCTTACGTTTGGCCAAGGCTTTAAGTTTAGCGAAATATTTCGTTTGTTCCTTGATCGTGTGAATTGTATGTATATATACTTTTTATTCTTCGTCCTGTTTGATATAGGTGGGTTTTTACCTCACGCAAATTTGTACTGAATTAGGATGTTAATATAAAGTAGAATTAAACGTTAAAACGGTATTTTGAAACAATAGCCAATGAATTGAAGTGATTTAGCCATAGATATAGGAGAACTCCTATATCTATGGATTTAGCATATGAGCAAGCAAAATATACAATGTGTTTTTAACAATATTTAATGTGGGTGTATTTATATTACAAGGTTTATCAGTATTGGTCACTATTCCGTGATTTTATTTTGTTGTTTTTGTGTAGGAAATCGGGGAAACCCCCCAGTGAGAATCTATTTTTATAGTCTGCGCGTGCGCAGTGCGAGTTTGGCTGAGTTGCGCATACGTATTTGCTACCAAAATAATGGCGGTTCGAGTATTTCGAAGCGTACCCTGGAACCAGAGGGTATTTATTTTCGCCTGTTTTGAATAACCCTCTGGTGAAATTGGCGTAGTTTTCTGGTTCACATTCCACACATAACTTTCAAAAATGGAAGCAAAGAGTTGATTGGCTGCTGACTATAGGTCGATAGACTACGTGTTCTGATTGGATATTGTAAACATCATAGCCTGTTCGCAGGCGTTTCGTGTTTTTATTGAATTGAAACATTTGAATTTTGAAATGTCTATATTATTGAATAAACGAACAAAAGTTGAAAGAAGCAGTTTTATAGGCTGCATTAATAGATAGATTGATAAATTTCCTGAATTAAAAGTTTAACGGAGCATCAATACCGCGCCTTGTCCAATTTGATTCACATTAAAGATGTATTTGCATCTTGCTATCGGTTATGGGAAGAGTTTAATATTCCAAAGTTCTAACACCGAGAGTAGCACGACGACTTGGCAAAAGCCACAATTTTCTGGAGAAACCCATCTTAATAGTCATTTGCAAATTGAACTCTTTCATTGACTCTCACGTCCGTGAACAAAGAAAGCGTGGATGCCGTGTTACTTCACTGTCAAACGAAGAGGACGAGAAAGCAATACTAGATGGAGAGTTTTAAACTCTACATTCGCATTTTGTAATCCCGAGTCTATTATTCGAAATGCGAAATGGAGAGGAATGGTTTCATTTGAAATCTACAAGACAAATTTGCTTGCTTTTGTATTAACAGACAAAGTTCACGTCGGCCCAAAGAGGTGTGTTTAATAAATTTATAAAATACAGATTTTTTTGAATGTATATTGCGGATTAAATTGAATGAATATAAATATAAATATATATTTATATTAAATTGAATAGATGCGATGTTTTAAATTGAATGAAATTCAGGAGAATGAATATTGCTACAAATGGACAAGCATACACTGGACAGTAAACATGCGATAAAACCCTGTCTAGACGGCCTGGCGTCAAGGATAATGATTGGATAATATTTTTAGAATATGATGCATTAAGCCATTATACATTTTTTGCATTCTTTATCCGAACCAGGAATCGCTAACAAATTCACCAGAGGTTTTTCCTTTTTCTTCGTGCGTTTTCTCGCATTTCGCGTTCGCCAAGCCTAAAAAAACCTCTGGGCCAGGGTATTCGAAGCGCGAAAATATCAAACTTTGGAGGGATTTTTCTCCCAATTGTGCAACTGTTTCGCTTGGGGAGCAACGGATTGTGATAAAGTAAGTTTTTATCTATTTATTCATGCGAAAATTACGTAGTTACACGAGGGGTGCAACGGAATTGCATCTTTTGGATGCTCATCCTACGGCCTAATATTATCCGCATTTTACAACATTTCGCAACGAAAATTTGGGATTACTAATGTTGGGATGCTCTTTGAAGCTGTGGTGAAATGTTTGCCTAGACTTGTCTAGATCAAAATTTTGTTCATTAGGGAATAGGTCCATTTTGGCTGAGTGATTCATCTGCCCACGCTCACGCGTGACGCGTGGACACCAGTCACACCACGCTCTGAAACAATATGGCGTTCGCGAGCTGTTGTTTGTAATTTCGTACAGAAGATTTGATTTATTAACCAAAGATTTTCAAGACGTATGTTACCTTTAATGATCCAAAGGATACATGCTCAAATATTTTAAAGAGGAAACGTCAAAAACTCAGGTATACATAAGAAATTAAAAATTGTATTCGCGTAGTTATAAATATTTAGCAAGTTTTTAGTTATTCTGAACTTAGTGAGTTCTTTAACTTTCGGTATAATATATCATTTATAGACCCTCCGCTCGGGGGATTCGGCGATATTTCCCTCAGTGATGATATTTTCCTCGGGGCAAAGCCCTTCGGAAAATATCATCACTTCGGGAAAAATTACGCCAAATCCTCCCCCCTTCGGGTCTATTAAATGATAAACATTCGCTTGAAAGTTTGCATGAAGTGTAACGAAGCATTCAGTTCGCTTTCGTCGTGAATAGACGAATTTTGTTGGCAAAATAGCACGGCATCTTCTTATAAGAAAAAGTTGTCTCGAGAACCGGCTTGAGCACAGTATTGAAATTGTAAAGAAAGCCACTCGCTGACAAGGATGGAGATCCGTACCCCGAAAGAAACGATATATCAGAATAATCAGATTGTGTATGCGATATGGCGCTATCTCTGGTGGAAAATGGAAGAGCCGCGAAGCGACTAATATATTAGACGGTAAACATTACTGGTAAGTTGCTGTATTATTGCTGTAGTGCAACCTCGTACACAGGCTCTTTAGTAATTAATAGCGTCAGAGCTCTGGGTGAGCTCCCCAAGATTCCCCGCGTGCCTGAAAGCTCACCCAAAGCTCTGAACGCTATTAATTAATAAAGAGCCTGGGTACGAGGCTGGCTGTAGTGTTTAATTAAAGCGCTGTTTATTATGACAGTTGGTAAAAAATCGTAATTTTCCTTTTCTTATATTTATGTATAAAGTGTAGTTAGAAAAAATTTCTAAATACAGCTTAGTACTGTATTTAGAAATAATTCTAAACAGAGCAATTAAATATATTTGCATAATCTTTTGTTCACCGCTCAATTTTCCTATTGTTCAAAGCCCTTCCCACCTGAGTAATTAAAGTCCTGGTCTAGACGGGGTATCCAGATAGATACACGTGATGTAAATTTTACCATGTCATTGGCCGAAATGCTAAGACTATCTAATGCATGATGTGTGAGAATTATTTTGAATAGTGCATTAATTAAGCTGAATAGTGATGGCGACTAAGCACTGACACACCGATTAAGTTGAAGCCTGCATGATTGACAGTATTCCACTTTTCCAATATAGTTTTAGCACTACTATTGTTTCTTCTTTCACTTCATTTCACTTCATTTCACTTCACTTCTAGGTTTACGCTTGAGCGAGCTCCGCTTAAATATAAGACATTTCAGTTAATTTCTCAGCTATTATATTAAGCTTTATATTTAATTAAAGTTAAGGATTTTGTGCATCCTCTCATCGTATTTTGGAACTGGATTTGTATCATGGTGTTAAATTATTTTGGTTTGGTTTGGTTTGTTGGGTCGTATTACTATCGTATTATTATAGCGCTACAACTAAAAATTTTGTTTAATGAACAATATCTTTGTCGTCGTTTGTCCTTTTCGTCCGAATCTTGCTGTGTGCATGATCTACGAATCGTTTTGTGGTTATTTTGTATAATTTTGGTGTTATTTAAAGATGCGGTACAGTCCGTATGTAAACAAAGGCTTTGTTTACATTTCGGTATCCAAAATATTGAATTTTATTCGACAACTATTTATATTTTCATGATAATAAATTATCAAGAGACAACAATCAAGCTTTGCAAGAACATAAAATGAAATAAAAACCTAAATAAACTGTTTGTAAATAAAAAGAGGGCTCCTTTGTGCACATGCGCAGATCGGACTGTACCGCATCTTTAAGTGTACTATTCATGAATTTTTCAATTAATTATTTTTGACCGTTGCCGTTGGAACTTTTGAAATTTAAATCCCGTCTGGCGTCGCTCTCCATGGCAAACAACTATCTTATGTAATGGAGTTTAATTAAATCAAATGAAAATGTATTTCTACGGATATCTTGAACATAACCTGCTGAGTAATTGTTGGTTTTTCGTCAGTAATTACGGGGAATTTAGATTGACGTGCGTGCGCGCGCGCGGTCGGGCACGAAAGTGCTCTGCGATTTTTTCGCATTTCGAGTTTATTTACTAAAGTTTTCCTCGAAAATATCATCTTTGGTGTTTGGCAAGACATTCATCCCCAGGATTTTGAAGTTTGTAGAAAGTTTTGTCTGCTTCTGTGCTTGTTTTCTTGTGTTTTGTTGTGCGTTTCTGTCAATTTGAAAACTGTTTTAAAAGTTGGACGGTTGCTGCAGACGTTACACAAGTCAATACGCCACCAGTATGCTGATGACGCAGCGCAAGTTTAAAGTTTGGAACGGTATTGGTGCGCGTGCGCCGCCAATTAAAAGAAGAAATTGCTTGCAACTAACCTGGATAAAGGACGGAGTTCAATTCTTTATGCTTTTTGCAACAATAGTCTGGTGGTGTTCAAAAGTTAAACCATCTAACATTCCTGTCGAAAAGACTTTAAATGGCATTGTAATTAATTCTGAACTTGCGAATTTACCTGAAAAGCTGTGTTATGTTTGGACTGCCACTCGTGACTCAAAACAAAGAAAATTAAATTATCCCATCAACTATCGTTACGGAATTAACCTGAAAATTGATCGCAATCCATCTCATGTTGTTTTTCTAATCTTACTGGCTGGTGATGTGGCTACAAACCCTGGTCCCAGTACTACTCCACCTCGTACCACTGAATCATCCCCCGGTCCTGATGATGACACTAACATCCACTACATGCGATGTCTGTATTTCAATGCACGAAGCTTAACTAACAAAATTACTGAACTTCAAACGCTCGTTACTGATGTTGATCTACTTGCAGTAACTGAAACTTGGCTTAAACCTGAAATCGCAAACTGTGAACTCTTGCCTGGAAATGAATTTGCCATCCATCGTTGCGACCGGACTGAGCGAACTGGTGGTGGAACATTGTTAGCTGTTCGGAATACCATCCTAAGCGTCCGAAGAAAAGATCTTGAAAGCAATGCGGAGATGTTAGTGTGTGAAATTCATCCAGAAAATAAGGGAAAACTTCTTGCGATTGTTTTCTACAGACCACCTGACACGGACTTGAACTACATCAAGCAACTCAAGAAATCCCTGCAGCTTGTTCAAAGCAACAACAAATTTGACCAGGTCATCATTTGTGGCGACTTTAACTTGCCTCATATTGATTGGACTACCGGAATAGCTACAACCAACGATCTCATTACCAACTACTTCACCAAAACAATCAAAGACAACTACTTGTGGCAACTGGTTAACTTTGCAACTAGAGCAGATAATACTCTGGATCTTATCCTCACCAACATTCCTGACAAAGTTCGAAACGTACAAGGGTTCGATGACATTCTGAACACTGACCACAAACTTATAAGTTTTGATATTAATTTTAATATCGCGAAGAAAGCTAAAGTAAAACGCGTGGTTTACAATTTCAAAAAAGCAAACTGGCCTGGTCTTAAACAACAACTCGCATACGCGCCCTGGGATGAATGTTTTGTTTCTGATAACGTCGACGAGTCACTTTCGAACTGGTGTGATTTATTTATGTCAGCTGTCGACAAATACATCCCGAAACATTTTGTAAAGAATACTAATGATCACCCATGGATTGATAAAGAACTATCCCTTCAAATTAAGAAGAAAAACATCCAAAGAAAAAAGTTAAAGAAATCACAATCCTCAGACGATCTAGAAAAGTATAGAACGTTACGGCGTGAGACTAAAAAGCTGATCTCAAAGAAAAAGAAGGATTACAATAAAAAACTGTCCGAGTCTCTGTTCGAGAACCCAAAACGTTTCTGGTCGGCGGTAAAATCAAGAACGAAATTGCGTCAATCTGTTAATTTTCTTCGAACTGACGGTGCTTTTACAACAGATAAAATGTGCATGGCTGACATCCTAAACAAATTTTTCCACTCCGTCTTCAACCCTCGGGAAGCAGAATCACCCACTTCGACATCTGAAACACTAACACCCTCAACTCCTCAACTCTGCGATATCGAATTGGGAGATTCTGAAGTTGCTGAAGTACTTCGTCACTTAGACCCTAAAAAGGCTTGCGGACCAGATGGGATTCCAAGTAGATTGTTGTTTGAACTTGCAAATGTTATCACACCTTCATTAACCAGACTGTTCAACATGTCTCTCTCACTTGGCGTAGTACCCATCAATTGGAAACGTGCTAATATCACGGCCGTATTTAAGAAAGACGATCCTTCACTTTCGTGCAATTATCGGCCGATTTCTCTACTCTGTGTGTTGTCTAAAGTTCTAGAACGTTGCGTTCACAGTCACTCCTACTACCACTTAGCACCACTCATCTACAAGATGCAACACGGTTTCATGAGGGGGAAATCAACAACAACCCAACTGTTAGAAGTGTACCATGACATTCTGGAACATGTTGCGAGTGGTAAGGAAGTCGATGCTATTTACCTGGATTTATCGAAAGCCTTTGACAAAGTTCCACACAATCTGTTGTTGAAGAAACTCGAGAATTCCGGAATTGGCGGGCCTCTCCTTGCATGGTTTCGAAGCTACTTGACAGATCGAAAACAACGTGTAGTTCTTCATGGCGTGTGTTCCGATTGGCTCCCGGTTACATCTGGCGTACCACAAGGCTCCATACTTGGTCCACTTTTGTTTCTGATCTACTGCAATGACGTTCAAAATTACATACAAGCAAACTCGACACTCGCACTCTTTGCCGACGATTCTAAACTGTACAGATCTCTTGACCTCCCTAACGCTAGTACATCGCTCCAGCACGACCTTGACAGCCTACAGATATGGAGCGTTGATATGAAAATGGATTTTAACACGACGAAATGCAAAGTTATGCACTTCTCCAAAAAGAAATTGAAAACTGAAACATCCTATATTCTTACTGGACAGCAACTCGAACAAGTTACGCATATCTCGGACCTTGGTATCACAGTCTCTAGCGATTTATCGTGGTTTAAACACATCGAGAACATTGCAGCAAAAGCCAACAAGACACTGGGTCTCATTAAAAGGATAAGCAAGGGCATAACTGATTTCGCTACAAGGAGATTATTGTACTGCACCCTCGTCAGACCCAAGTTAGAGTATGCTAGTAACGTGTGGTCACCCAGAGCCGTTAAACATCGATCATTAATCGAGAACGTTCAGCGGAGAGCAACGAAGTTCATTCTAAATTACCCAAAGGAAATGTCGTACACGGAAAGATTGATCACAACCAACCTCCTTCCGTTAGAATTCCGCAGAGAGATCACGGACTTGATTTTACTGTATAAGTCAAAAACCGGACTCATTCCTATGGACGTTAATAACTTTTTATGTTTGTACGAGCCTGGTTTTAGATCTCGCAATTATAATGAAAATAATTACTATTTCCTCTTAAAACATAAACAGCAGTACTTTAGAAACTCGTTCTTTGTCAGATCTGCAAGTCTGTGGAACAGCCTACCAGCAGATCTAAAAATCTGTGGTTCGCTTAACTCTTTCAAGATTAGTATACGTAAACATTATGTTTCTAAGTTAACTTCTTACAGTCCTCCTGGCTTTACTTAGATCTATAAGTTATAAAAGTTATTTGTGTAATGTACTGTACTAACGTGCTTGGCTGCTTGTTGTTTACTTGGTCTCACGGCCTTCCTGAGGCTCCATATGATTCTGTTGCAAAATAAGTTTTTGGTTAGGCTAGTGATTTGTTCGAGAAATAGTTAGAAATATTGACATTCACTTACTAATGACCTATTCCCATGTGTACCTCAGTACTTTTGTCACGAATCATGCATGCGAAAAGTCATTGTGCTCGGTGTGCAACAAGCAGCAAAGTCTAGTTATAATGTTGGGGTCAGGTGTCAATTGGGACGCAAGTCCTGTTCCTTTCCCCAGTCACACTTATGTCCTCTGTTTATTGTAGATGTATGCGTAATGATTGTGTTGTGACAAATGATTAAATTAAATTAAA